TGTATGTATATATATATATGTATGTATGTATGTATATATATATATATGTATGTATGTATATATATATATGTATGTATGTATGTATTTGACGGTCGGTTTGGTCCAAACCGCCCAAAAAATGTTCCAAACCGCAGACCAGACCGGACCGGACCGCCCGGTTTTGCTATTTTCCAAACCAGACCGGACCGCCAGACCGCTCAAACCGCCAAAAACGGTCCGGTTTGACTTGGTTCGGCCGGTTTGAGCGGTCCAACGGTTTTTTTGAACACCCCTAGTTTCCAACAGGAAATTGCTGGCAAACTGCACGAAAATGGTTGGTAAATTCTATCCAAATTAAACAATTTCGGTGAATAGGAGAATCTTTTTATATAATATCAAAAAGAAATGATCTAGGACCAGCCTGTTATATATTTTTGCATTGTGGTTAAGTTTTGTGTATCCGGTTCATGGATAAATAGAAGACTAGCAACTGATACGAATTATATGGGAAGAGGTTGAGGTCTTTGTTTTAGCTTATGATTTAGATTTTTTTGGCTAATTTTATAAATTTATATTATTGACTCATGTTGGTTAACCTTCTAAATTCATAGGTTGGTTCATTTTGGTCAACCCGCTATTTACAAATTTTTTATCTATATAAAAATCAATATATCTTTATATTTTTTCTATTAATCAATCTTGGCTATTGATTCTTACAATAAACGGTTGTGATTTATTATATTAAAAATTTAATTTTTTAAATTTACAATTTTACAAATATATGTGAACTAAGTAGAAAAGGGTATTTATGTAATTTTCATTTTTATTTAACTCCCATATCATTAATTGGGAGTTGCAAAATCAAAAAATCTCATATTTTTGTTAATATAGTTTTGTTAATGTAAGAACCTTATGAACACATCTATATATATGAACCATTGTGTCAAATACGAACAAAAAGTGACATATATATGAACTAACTTGGACTGCATAGCATTTATGAACACAATATGAACATAATAAGAATAGCTGCTACATGAAAGAAAATAAATAAAAAAAAGGTATGAACACAATATGAACAACTTGTGAACAATAGTTCCTTCATTATGAACACATTCAGGTGCGAGCCAATGTTGAGATATGCAGCTAGTGTACATATGAACTCAATATGAACACTTACGAACAATAGTTTCTTCATTATAAACACGTTCAGGAGCGAGCTAATGCTGAAATATGCAGCTAGTATACATATGAACACAATATGAACAACTTGTGAACAATAGTTCCTTCATTATGAACACATTCAGGAACGAGCCAATATTTAAATATGCAGCTAGTGTACATTTGAACACAATATGAACGCTTGTAATAGTTTCTTCATTATAAACAATGGGATTATCCATAATAGTTTGAATGATACCGAAAACTTTACTATTAGGTCTCCTCTACCAATCACAAATTCAAAAACATTATAGATTGAAAAATCAATATTATAAAAAAAAATAAGATCAATAATAACTTAACAAAATCATGAGATTTTATGATTTTGTAACTCTCAATTAATGATATGGAAGTTACATAAAAAAGAAAATTACATATTTACCCTTGTCATTAAATTATAAGATGAATATGAACCTATATATAAGATAGATTGTCATTAGTTGAAAATGGTTAACATAATAAACTTGGTTAATATATATATATATATATATATATGTGGAGGTTCAAACGAGAACCCCTGTGATTTATGAGAACGCGAGAACAACTCAATAATCTCAAACTTTTTTAATTAATAAATTAACTTATATTAAATATAAATAAATTAATAAGGGCAGTAATGTAATTAAGTAATTTTTATAATTTTTATTTTATTTTAATTAATTGTAATTACCCCTTTGATTGATCAAGTATCCATGTTTTTTTCTTTGGTTGGTTTTCTTATCTCAATTTCTTCTCCAAATCGTTCATAGTATGTTGACAATCGACTTTCTTATCTCCTTTTCTTCATATCGTTCATAGTATCCATATTTTTGTCGATCTAGAATGTAGGTATATGTTGATTTGAGTTTAATGTTATTGTAGTTTTGTAATTGAGAATTGTAATTGAGAATTTTGATGTTTATCACATGTGATAAACATCCCATAATTTCCGTGACATATATCTATTACCAGCTCATAGATATTGATCGCTCAAATCATATAACAGAAACAATTATTTGTGCATATCGATCCAAACAATTATCAGGAAATGTGATAATGGTGTAATAAATGTGATAACGTTTCTATGCATATCGATCCAAACAATTATCAGTGATCCCAAGAAATATGATAATAGTGTGATAAATATGATTGATATATATGATTTGATCAAAAGCAAGTTAATTGCTAGCAAATCTCAACTCAAACTACTTCTGAATCTCTTAAATTGGTGTGTAGCTAGTGATGAAGAGTCGAGTTCATATGATAGGAAAATGCAAATGCAAAATTTTGCAGTCTAATAGACACATGATTGGTGCTAGTAAATAACGTATATCAACAAGAAAAATGACAACTATATTGTAATCAAGATGGTCAATTTCACCTTCAACTTGTAATACCAAATCAATGATTATAATAGTGATATTGTAAGTAAGAATTTTGATGTTTATCACATGTGATAAACATCTCATAGCTGCAATTGTATGTTACTGTAATGCGCCTTGATGAGGTTGATTTTGTTTTGAATTTAATTTAATAGTAATTTTGTTTAGTTTTATTATGACACATGAGACTTTGTTAATTTGGTTTATATGTATATTGACTTTTTTTTATTTATAACATATTGGTAATTGTTTCACAGATGATTTTGTGTTACCAGCTCAAGGAGTGATTGAAAGTCCTTGCGGTGATGGAGTTCGTATCCCATCTGTTCCAAGTGAATTTCAACCGGTTGTTGGTTCAATCTTTGGATCTTTGGAGGATGGAATTGAAATGTATCAAAGTATGCCGACATTGTCGGGTTTGATATTTGACTATCAACCCAGAAGACAAGGAAGGGTGGTATAGTCAAACTAAAATATGTTGTTTGTCATAAGCATGGAAAACCAAAAAAGAGGTCGGTTGGCTCTGTTGAAGTGGATGGACATCGTAGACAAGTACGAAATACAAACTTTAAAGTTGCAGATTGTAAGGCGTCTGTTAGGTTTAAATACATAGAGGGGTCTCAATCATCATATAGATTATACTATTTTTGTCCCAACCATAATTATGATTTGATTGATGATGCTGATAGAATTTTATCACGTAAGAGTAGGCAACTCAGCTATGATGACAAAGTTATGGTACACCAGTCAGCGAGGTCAAATATTGGGCCTGTAAGAGCCCAAAAGTTGTAGGTTTGTTTGAAAGATGGCTACAATGAGGTTGGTTCTAGTGTTGTTGATTATAAGAATTTCAAGAGGGATCTCAATAACTACGTTGGTGATGGAGACGTACAAATGGTTGTTGGAGTCGTTCTTGAAGGTTTATGGTCGTCAACCAACCCTTGTTTTGACTGATCAAGATGCTTCCATTAAGGAAGCAATCCTTGTTGTGTTTCTTGATGCTAGACATCAACTATGTATGTGGCATATTATGAAGAAGCTCCCTGCCAAGGTATTGAATGTTTTATTGTTTTGCTCGGGTGACTTGATATTTTCATGTTTAAAATTAGGGTACAATTTAAATCGTAGGATGCGTGAAATTTAGTTTGAAATTGCTATATTTTGTTTCTAACTAGATTTTAACACATGTGATTGAAAGTAATATATATTTAGCGTTATCGGTGACAAAATAAATAATGATGAAAAGTTCAGGGATAAAATTTTATAGTTGATGGAAGATGAGGGACCAAAGTTGAAATAGTGGTCACTTACATGTGATTTAAAACTTTTGATCCAATAGCATGATTGAATTTTGTGGTTTTGTAAGGCCTTCACATGGTGCAAACCCATGAACCGCATCACAACTCCTTTCAGCATATATATAGGTTGTTTTTGGGAAAACTGGGGGACATTTTTTGTGTGAGTGTTTGAGAGGAAGTTTGAATAAGTTGTTTGTTGTGTTTGCACGTAGATTCGGATAGAGGTTCGATGAGATTTAAGTTGATATCGGTGCGGTGAGTTTTACAAAGCTTTTGTAAAATACATGTTATTATGTTACACGTGATTTATTTTGATACATGAAATTATGTGACATATTTTGGATTTGGACTAACATGTCGAGGCATTACGGTAAGTGGCGATATATTAGGTCGGGTGATATTCTTCACCGCCCAACACTTTATCCGATGAGACTTGGTCATCGCCCAAAGCTTGTAACTTTAAGATTTTATCTTTCATGCCTTGGGCGGATTGGTAGCTTATCGCCCAAGCTTTCGCCAGGATACTCTTTTTATCGCTCAAAGCCTTGGTCGGATTGAACACCGCCCAAGCCTTGGCCGGATAGACCTCTCATCGCCCAAGCCCTGTCCAATGAGGGAGTTCATCATCCAAATACTTTACCCAATGACAAGGTTCATCGCCCAAGCTTTGTCAATGAACTTGTTTATAGTTTGAAACTCTACAAGTGACGGGGCATCCGCGATAGTTGGCGGGATAACCGCAATAGGTGGCGGGACATCCTTGATAGTTGGCGGGATAATCGCGATAGGTGGCGGGGGATCCGCGATAGTTGGCGGGATAATCGCGATAGGTGGCGAGGCATCCGCGATAATTGGTGGGATAACAACAATAAGTGGTGGGGCATCCAAGATAGTTCTAACATTGAGATCATGACTGAATCTATTAACATTTTATTTATGCCAGGTTTAAACTTGAGGGAAATCACTCACTAGAACTTTCGGTCTAACCCTCAATCATTTTCAAAATAATTTTTGCAGGTCAGCTCAGGTTGGAAGATAAAGGCAAAAGAAAGATGTAGTTGGTTGTTGGACTAGTTTTTGTTAGATCAGTTCTTGTATTCATGATATTTGCTGATATGTACAGATATAACTGATTTGTTTTTGTGTGTGTGTGTGTGTATATATATATATATATATATATATATTGAAACCTGTTATATGATATGTCATGTATTTTGAGATTTGGTTTTGTAGGGCCTTTACACTTGGTATCAGAGCCTCGGTTTAAGAGATCTAGGTATTTCTCTAGTACTTAGAATTAAACTAGATGCGTTAATCGTATGATAATAAGTTCCATTGGGATTTAGAGCTTGGGAATGTGTTAAATATAATTGGGTCTAAAGGGACGGCAAGTAAGGTAGATTCAAATTACATATGACCAATGTAATCATGAGTTTACAGGTGCTTGTTTAAATATGTGATTAATTGTATGCATGTTTACTGTTGCAGTTGAGAGTGTTAAGATAAGATGGCAGATAATTATATACATCTAGTTAGGAATGTGTCTGAGAATTCTGAAGGAAAGAATCCTGTGTTGAGAAATTTACCCATTTAATTGGGTTTTGTTCGGTTTTATTGGGCCTAATGGGTTTTATTCGTTTTTATTGGGCCTAATGGCTTTATTCGGTTTTATTAATTATTTTTTGTAATATTCTAATAAATAATAAATAATTGAAAATTTAATAATCAATAATTAAAAATTTAATAATCAATAATTAAAAATTTAAATTAATAAAATTTGTAGTTATTAAATAAAAAAATTCAGCAACGGAATTTGTTTTTGGCCAATCCCTCGTTGATCCCTCGCTGGTCTGCGAGGGATTTTTTTCCTCGGTGATTTTCGTTGCTAATACCTTGTTTTCTAGTAGTGCGTACTTTGTGAACCTCAAATGGCTCTGCCCACTTAGATCTTAGTTTTCCTAGAAAAAGTTTCAACCTTGAGTTAAAGAGCAATACCTTTTGACCTGCTACAAACTCTCTTTGAGAGATCCTCTTATCAAGCCATTTTTTTGTTTTGTCTTTGTAAATCTTGGCATTTATCACCAAATTCATAAAATAGTGTAATTCCTGCATCCTAGCTCCACTAAATGTAAAAACATAAAATAAGACTAAAAGACTCAATATACGATTGAGAAAGATGAAAAATAAAGTGAAATAAAGACATAATTAGGTGCTAAAGTGTATGCTTTTACACACGTATCACAGATCAAAAAAATCATTTATCCCAACAAATAATTAAACATAATAAGTTTAGGTTGTTGTTTCTCCATCAGTATCAATATCATATATAATCAAGTGGTAAACATATAAGTCCTCATCGTCTATGAACTTCTTCTTCTCCTTGTTCTATCTCCAGAACAAGATCGGAGGTACACTCACTACGACCATATGTCTGTTCCAAAACAAAATCAGAGGTAATCTCATATGCATGCTCGTTTTTTGAATCAAACTGAGGCACGTAAGAAGTTTGATTATGCTCAGGAGCATACACATCATCTTCGTTGTTCGAACTACAACCAACATTGCTTCCATCACCTATCAACAAATCGATATACACATAAAGTGTTGGCGGATTATTTGAACCGGAAGCAAATTCCATGAAGGACAAACATCGTCGATGTCACTTAACTCATAAATTTCGCTTGAATACTTGTGCATCATTCTAGTGGTACCAACAGAAGAGTAGATACCACATTTTGTTTGAACATAACTAACTAACCTCAGATGTCCAATGTTTGATGGAACCATGACATGGGGCATCGGTTGATCAGAAACATACTCCCACTCTTGATTAATTTGCTGCAATGAAACCCCACCGCTAATACGTAACTTAATTTTATCAGTTCCATAACTCATTCTGGAAGAAAAAAACACAGAACAAGGAAGATACATGAGAAATATTTTATTGAAAAGTTGGTTGAAAACTTGGTGGTCTTCCACATTCATCGTCGGTATTTTTATACAAAAATATGACGGAATCAAATTATACCAACACATTAAAATAATGATATGCTGAAGTTGTACAATTGATAATCATGGTGAAAAAAATACAATGAATAACATCAAAAAAACATACATGAAAAATGAGTTTTGGAACATAAATTGCAGACCTAGGTCTGGAATATTAGGGATCCAATATGATTATGGATGTGGCAATTCCTGGTGATGACACGTGTCACGTCCGCAATATCGCGGATGTGTCATTGCGGGCGTGGCAATGGATCAAAATTGCAGACCTAGTCCACTACGGATATGGGCTGAATTCTAAAATCAACGTCTTCTAGCCGAGTTTGTAATATTGCAAACTTAGCCCATTGCAGATGTAGGCCGAATTCGTTTTTTTTTTGTCTTTTAATCGGATTCGTAATATTGCAAGCCTGACCATTACGGATTTGGGCCAAATTTGATTTTTTTTTGTCTTTTAGTCTAATCTGCACTGCAGTATTACGAACCTGTATATTGCGGCCCTAGTGACATTTGGGTCAAAACGAAAGAGAGGCCAAATTGAGTGAGGCTTTTGCTTATTTGGGCCAATTTCCCCTCTTTTTAAATTTTAGAGTAAAGTTCAGTTTTGGTCTCTAACGTTTTCAATTTTAATGGATATCGTCCCTAAACTTCAAAAATTCAGATTTGATCTCTCATGTTTGTCAATTCCCAACGATTTTGGTTCCTTTGTCTAACGGTCGTTAACTTTTTTTTTTGTTAAATTCAGTTAAATTAGAGATATTTTAATCATTTTCACTATTTTTACTAAAAACATATTATAGTTTTAATTAAATCGTAAAACAAAAAAAGGATAACCACCACTTTTCGTTTTTTTTTTTGTTTTACAATTTAAAACTAAAATTAAATAAGTTTTTTTCAATTTTAGCATAATGAAAATAGTGAAAATGACTAAAATACCTTTTATTTAACTAGACTTAACGGAAAAAAAAAATGAAAGATGGTTAGACAAAGTGTAACACCCCATTCCACGGCTTTGCATGTAACATATATTTCATATACAAGAAATATATGTTCGTACACCACATTGGTCCCTTAATACAAGAATCTACTAGTACAAAATATATAGTCCAAAAATTCAAAATACAATTCTTGTATTAAACCAGTTTCATCTATCAAAACT